TTCCTAAATGTCCATGTAGCCTCCTCATTATAGATGTGGTCGACACACACCGATAACAAGGACTCTACTAGACACGGCTCCGAGATATCCTAGGACACTTTAAAATCTTAGGATATGATACCAAGTTTGTCACGCTCCGAAATCGGGGAGCGCGACCGACGCTCAACCGAGTAAACCCGGCCGAGCAAGCCTGTCAGATTTTCTTCTACCCAAACTCATTCATGAAATAAGAGGAGATGTACTCCATTAATCAAACACTGAAAAGATTTCATTAACAACTTCCATTTCATTCCCATTAACAGCTTCATTCATAATTTCCAAAATATTACGAGTTTATAGAATTAATGAAAAACATGATTTCCAAATACCAACATTTTTAATTCAATTCTCCATATCAAATACCACCCACAACCTGTCTAGGGAGCCTCTAAGTACAATAGAAGAGTAATATGGAAATGCCAGTAACAAGGCCCCGGCTATACCTCAAAATATAGTACATGAGAAATAAAAGATACATGACCCCAAAATTAAGTGGGGCTCACCAAATCAGCTGAAAAGAGTGAACTGCTATCACTGATCAATGTTGCCTGCTGTAGAACCACCTGCATCCATTAAAGATGCAGCGCCCCTGGCAAAAGGGACGTTAGTACTGTCGAATAGCACTAGTATGTATAGCTAAAAGTCCTCTTTCAAAATAGAATGTCCATATAAGAAAAGGCAACACATAGAAACAGCAAGTCACAATCAACAATATCCAAATGTCCAGTTAAAACATAATAATTTTTAAAATACGAACTTCATATACAATTTTTGGTTGGGAGATCATTAGCATTGTTATACCATTGTTCATAATATCACCTTTTACAATACCAGTATTCACAATACCAATACCACCGTACGTTTAGCACGGAGTCCGATCACGGCCCGATCGGCTAGGTCATCTCATTAGAGACATCAACCACAATCACTCTCAATACCAATACCACCATACTTTTAGCACGGAGTCCGATCACGGCCCGATCGGCTAGGCCATCTCATTAGAGACATCACCCACAATCACTCTCAATACCAATACCACTATACTTTTAGCACGGAGTCTGATCACGGCCTGATCGGCTAGGCCATCTCATTAGAGACATCAACCACAATCACTCTCAATACCAATACCACCATACTTTTAGCACGGAGTCCGATCACGGCCAGATCGGCTAGGCCATCTCATTGGAGACATCAACTTTTTCTATCAATCAAACTCATCCCAATAAGGAGAATAATTTTATCACATCACTCTCATACCAAATAAGGGAAATAATTTTATCACATCAATCTCATCCCAAATAAGGGAAATAATTCACAAAAAATAATATAGGTACGAATGTATTTACCTCATCACCTTTCACATTGTATGAATCTCCAATAGTATTTTCAACCTATAACAACAACAATATTCCCTCAGCTCTTTTGGCCATTCACAATATTCTTTATTCAAGGCACGGTGGCCTTATTTGATATTCTACACTTTTATTTCTTCCCTATCTTGTATCACCATCATAAATATTAACATATATAATATTCCAAAAATCACAACTTTAAGTTCATTATAAATGAACAATTTAAGCACAATAGATTTCTTTCCGAGAAATGGAGTAAAATAAGTGACAATTGATGCGCAAGTTAAAATCATCAACAAGTAACACACCATTTATTCTTGAAATACTTTTCACAAAAAAGGAAAATACACAGTTTCAACTCATGAATATATAGGAGTTCATAACACGTTGGAAATACTTACAAAGCATAGCATTAATTGAAACAACCACATTTGGGCACGACTTGAGTACATAAGCCTTTAGGCAAATCTATTTTCGAAGTCAAATTGGAATAGTTGAATCAAGACTCATTTATTAACCTTTCTCACGTCATTTCATTGGCACCATTGGCCACAAGTATAACTTTCATTCTTGACATGTTGGCCACACTTTATATCCCCAATTCACTTATTTCACTTCCAACCATCTTTATAGATTATCAACAATAAGACATTTTCAAATCAAGACTTTAGGTCCACATATGAGCAATTAAGAGTCTTAAGAATATTGAGATTTTCTCACACAATTTGGCATCATAACCTTCATTTGGAACACGACTCAAAACATAGCATTTTAATACACAAAGCATACTTTGAACATCGATATTTCGACATAAGGCTCATTCAGAATAATCAAGTTAAACCCGGAATATAGAAGTTAGGAATCTTGAGCCAATCATACTTGATCTTACGGAAACATTATGGAATTCGATTCTAAGAGAGAAAGTATAGTCAACATATCTTGATGGAGCTCTTTAGTGCTACTAAAACCACCTACTACTCTTACAACTTCAATCTACATCAACATAATTCAATTGAACCAATATTAGTAATAAATTTCATAATTTAGGTCATTTAGGCATTTTATCAAACATCTAGTAGGCATGAATCTTTACATCTCTTACCCATAGAATTAGTCATCCAACTACTACCATTTACTAACAATTTATCCCACCATCATTCTTAAACAATTTATAACTTCCAACATCACATACATGACCATCCATCCACACCCAACCAAAAAAATTCCATCAAATAATCACCTTTCAATCTCTACAATGGATATGTATTTAAATTGGGAATTTATCGCTTTCAATCACCATACCATAAGTTTCAATACATAATTCATACTCATATTTCCATAATATATTCATACATGTAAGTCTAAGGGTGTAGGATTACCTTTTGGAAGAAATATTGCAAAACCCTCCTTTGAGTTCTTGAAACAATTTCTTGAAGATCTAAGGATTTCATGGCGGATTGAGTTAGTTCTAGAATGGAATTGATGGAATGAAAACCCAAATTAGTAGGGATTACTCACCTTGAAGATGGGGGGAGTTGGAGGTCTTGAGAGAGTGGAGGAAAATCCCAAAATTCGGCCAAGAGAAATGGGGTAAAATGAATCCCGGAATGAGTATTTAGTGTTTCGGGCGCCACAGGTGGCGTGGGGCGCTGCCTGTGGCACTGGTTCCAGTAGCTGAAAGAAATCCCAGTGCCAGGGATAGCACCCTGCGCTGCCTCGGGTGCTGGCGACGGGAAATTATTTTTCCGACACGGGAATGAGCATAACTCTCTCATAGATTGTCCGAATTCGACGATTCTTTTTGCTATGGCTCCATAATTTCAATACGGATCTAATGCTTCAATCAAAACTGAATTTAGAGCTCATTTGATTAATGTGATACCACTTATACTCAAAGAAGCGATGTCAAAATATCCTAGAAATATCTAAATTAAATACCGGACATATGCCCGAGTCCAAAATCACCATCCGAACCTAATAGAATCATCAAAACTCTGATTCGAGGTCGAATATAAAAGAAAAGTCAAACTTGGTTATAATACATCATATGAAGCTACTCAAGACTTCAAATAATTGAAAGGAGCGTAAATGTTCAAAACGACAAGTAGGGCCGCTACAGTTCCAACACACCTTAAACATATATTTTTATTTTGAAATGATGTGGTTCTATTCCATGGGTCTCCTTTAATACTAGAATACGTTATTCCCCAATACCGTTGTCGCACTATAAAATATTAAATCATTAGGAAATTTTTAATGGGGTCTTACAGCGGTAGCATTCATGGTGGTGCTTCAGGATTTCAATGTACTACGTCCAAGATCAGAACGAGCTTACCGGCGGACCACTGTCGTCCCATTCTTGGGTGAGTTGGAGCACATCCATCTTATCCACTGAACTATCTAGAAGCTTTCGCTTCGGGTCGAAGCACTAAAAGAAAAAGGACCGGGAAACGCGGCGGCATAGGAACCTCGGTACCCCTACTAGTAAAGGGAAAATAGAATTGCGCTCCTGCGCACCAACTGAAAAGGCTCTTTTCCTTTTTAATACTAATAAATAAGGTAAGCTTTATAACTCCAACCTAGTCAAGGGGCTTTCATGCCCTTTGTAAAGGTTGGGTTGCTGGATACGAGATCCTCGTAGTAGGCTAGACCAAGATCTAGCCGAGAAAGGGCAGTCTTTAGAAACAACAGGTTGGGAAAGCAAGAGAACGCTTCGCGTTTTCTTATCTTCTTCCCGCCCTAGGAGTAGCACAAAAAGAGGGATTAGCATTATTGACCCAATGATAAAGCACTAACACCTTCCTCGTTGGGGCTCTGCGCACTAGGAAAAGGTTGACGCGACAGAAAGCCGACCACTAGTTATAAAACTCCAATAAGGTATCGAGAGAACTATCACAGTCAGATGCGAATTGATTACCCCTATTTGTAAACTATCCCTATTCCTATTTAGGGAGTTGAAGCGAAAAATGGCTTGATGAACCGTTCGCCACGCACAAGCCACATTCACTTGCTTATCGTAGAGGCTGTAAGTACACAGTGTCCCACAAGTAGGCTTCTTCTTCCAGAAGGCAGTTCGAGATAACTGTAACCGTGTATATATAGAAATATATCTTCGATGCTGTCATTTAGAAATGTCCGCTTTAACAATTGTTTCACCTCCCAAAGAGTAAAGTCGGCTTGATGAGCGCAGATGAGGAAGCGGGAGCAAGAAAACCAATAATCTCTTTCTTGTCCTTGTACTTGAGGTTAAGGAGCAAGAGAGGCACTTTTGCTACTGAGAAAGTGAACGGTCAGCGCGAAGGTTCAAGACTTAGCCGAGCGTTAGCGAAGCTACATTCTCATAGCGAGGTGGCTACATTCTCATAGCGAGGTGCTTCGAGTTAACGTAACGCTATACTAGCGCCGAAGACCTCTATAATGCTGAGCCAAGGACGCTCAATCTCGCTACTATAGCGTTTCGCTAACTCGAATCACCTCACTATGAGAATGTAGCCACCTTGCTATGAGAATGTAGCTTCACTAACGCTCGGCTAAGTCTTGAAACGTCGCGCTTACCGTTCGCTTTCTCTATACAAGATTTGTGAACTAGCTCCATTTAACCGTCCTTTCGTTTTTGGTCAGCAACTCCCACTCGCTGCCAGAAGAGCGTACCTGCACACTCCATCTCAGAAGCTATCTCACCTGTTCCTTTCTCCATTCTTCTTCATCATCACCACCTTGTTTAACACAGTCCAACATGGACCCTACCCCCCAAAACTGCCTATCTCTTCTTTGTTGTTTAACACAATACAATTACCCATTTTGATTCTTTTATCTAACCAACTAAATTTTCTTTTAAAAGTACTTTTTATGTATTGCTAAATTTTCATATGGCTCATTTTGGCTAAATTTATCAAGCCTGCCCAAGTTGGTCCAAGTATTTAGATAAACTTTACCAAATTGCAACTGAAATTTGTACTCCATGGAAATGCAGAGGAAATTCACGGCAAGAGAAGATCAAGACGGAGTGAGTGATTTGCCTGACGCAATTCTACTTCACATTCTCTCTATGTTGTGGAATCCTAAAGAAGTTGTGAGAAGTAGCGTATTATCTAGACGATGGAGGTTTCTTTGGGTGTCCGTTCCACTGTCACTCTATTTCAACTTCCCTATTAGCGAAAGCGAAAAGGATACTCTTGATTACATGGCTTCCACCCATTGAGAGCTTCATTATTGGAGGAATTGCCAGAAAATTCTGAAATTCAGGGTGTGGGGCCTTAGATACGAGGACCGTATGCTAATGATATTGATTTATGGGTACAATTTGCAACTAAACTAGCTAATGTTGAAAGTTTTACACTTGGATTTTGGTCTACGGATCAACCGGGATATGATTTTCCTCAATTTGCATATAAGAATGCGCCCTTGAGGAAATTGCATATATAGTCTCGTTTCTCTTTCATTTGGGGACCTGCAATTGACTGACGATATCATGGAAAAGGTATTCTCCGGTTGCCCTCCCTAACTTGGAGTGCTTGGTACTAGATGCTATTTGGGGCATTTATCATTTGGAAATCAGCTCCGTGAAGCTGAGAGAATTGACCATACAAGATTACGGAAATGAGAATCATGATCTTTGGCTCGATATATTAGCCCCGTATATTCAAAATTTGCAACTTTTGGGGGTGCTGCTGTGAGTTACGCATGCGGCAGAGAATTGTGGCTTCACTTGTCACTGCAGTCCTTCGCTTAGAGTTTGCGTTTGACGATGTAGAAGGCAACTTGGAGAAGGAGTGTAGATATTTGAAGGAACTTCTTCACAGTGCTGCCCATGTCGAGAATCTTGAATTGGGTCCCTGGTGCACGAGGTTCATTCATACTCTTCATTATTTTTATTTTTATTTTTTGTTTATGTTTTGGGACTTTTTACTTGCTATTGAATCATCACTTTAGTAACATTAACAGTGCCACTACTTAAGATAATGTGATTGCTAATCTGGTAATCACTAAGCCATATGGTTGAACGGTGGCAGAAGATTGAAACAAGACCTTTGAACAAAATTTTGGTCATCTGAGAATAAAGAGTTTGCAATGGACAGAACAAGATGTAAAATTTGGATTGATTGACAATGATCTTACTCTTTAAGTCATGTGAATGGGTTTTTCCAGGTGCTTAAAAGTCCATCTTTGAATTTTCAAACCGACCATGAACACTTAGATGTGGCAAAACGCAGTCGTCTAGTCCAAACTGTTTTCATGAATTATTCAATAAATATTAAGTATGTCATATTTCCTTGATTTGACATATTATGGTTTATCTATTTTGTTTATTAGTTCCTGTCCATACTGGAGTTGAGAGGGTGGCAGCCTCCACCATCAAGCTGGAAATTCTTAGAACTTCCATCCTTACAAGAGTTGGACTTTCCTGGAATTTGCAGCTTTCTACAGAGTTCATCGGATCTTGAGACATTGGTCATTAACTGGTGGTTTGATGACGAAGCTAGAGTAAGTTTCTGTTAGACCTTTATTTTTATAACTTCGTGTTATCCATATCAAACAACTATTGATGGAAGAAGAAAATGATATTTGTATCAACATATTTCAAATCTTAAGTACTTTAGGAAAATAATCATAATTTTCTTATTTAGACCACCTTAGTGGTATATTTTATAGATAATGATGAAAAGGTTACAAAGAGGGGGATTTGACAAGTAAAGAGAAGATTGAGGAGGTCCAGTCCTTGACAAAAGTGTAGGAGTTAAGCCTCTAATATGTAAGCAAAAAGAGTTTCTGTATGGGTGGAGGACTCCTATTTGCAACGTGAAACATAACTAGCCTGAGTACTTACTAATTAATGAGCTTTACAACAATAGCTTCTAACTTGTGGAGACTTGCTCCCCTGTACACTGTTTCCATAAGAACTAAAAATGAGAACAAGTTAAAGGAGTAGTCTCAAGTAACATGGGAGCTCGCAGAAGGTTCTAACCGGGAGGTTCATCTTGTTGATTATTGGAGTTGCTTTAGGCTTTCTTCCGAATTTTGATTTTTGAATGAAAGGAGCTTGCCATTTGTCAAGCCTTAAGTGCCTTCTAGCTTCTCTTGATAATGAGTTAAACCTGAAAAATTTCTTCTCTGCATCCAGTGGCGACTATATCCAACTAAAGCATCAGCCACACCATCACTTCTCTATAACAGTGTGTCACCTTGACGACTTCACTTTGAATCAACCCTTTATCTCTTCAATAATAGGTTCATAGCACCAAGAAGGTTTTGCAGCTCCCTTGTCGACATTCACAATAAGTAAGAGTCGGCTTCCACCCAAATTTTCTAATACAATGTTCAAGACACCATTTAAGCCCATAGGAAAGTGTAAATGCTTCAGCCGTGTTGTTTGTTCCGTGGCCTAGTTGGACTGTATATGCCATAATGCTGCAGTTACGTGCTTATTATTCCATTTTTGTGTAAGACATTTAGCGGAACTCTTTTGTTCCCTCAATTTATTTTTCTCATGAAAATAGTCCAGGTTGAGTTGCTTTGACAAAAATTTCATGTTGTCATTGTCAAAATTGATTCTATGAGTAAGTCAATTCGACAGTCAATTTTTGTGTAGTTGTAGGAAAAATATTTTTAACAAGGGATAGTACTCACCTTCATCCGAGGAGATACAGGATCAATTTCAATGAAGCTTTGAAACATTCTTTCTTTTTTGTGTGTACCACTTTGTAACATTTTTTAAGCACTTGACATGTTCCTTGAATCTGAAAATTCATCACCTTTTTATTCTATCCACAATCAACTCCTTGGCTTTCTACTTACATCAAAGACTCTAAGGAGAATAACTGGCTTACATAGCGGATTCTTTCATGCAGTTCCTGCTGTCAAGTTACATAAATGAGGATGAACAGAGCAGGAGGTTTGAAACACGTAATTTTATTTATTTTTTGATAATCGTGGTGTCCGGGCCAGCTTGCGCGCAGCTCGACTAATTCCATGAGATACCTGCCACCTCCCACCAGCAACAGGTACCAGGTAACTCTATCCACCAAGGCTTGGATCGATGGGAAGAAATAACCTAGTATTTGCCTCCGCTGGGTTTGAAACACGTAATTTTAACTGCTCATTTCTACATCTGAAGACCATCGAGATCATTAACTTTCATGGATCACTAAGTGAAAATAAGTCTGTGATACCATTGGTAAAATATTTTCTAAAGCATGCAACTGTGCTTGAAAAGTTCGTCATTGACGCCATATTCGAAGGGAGTGATGTTCTCCAGATTATGTTATAATGGCACAGGAGTTCCTAAGCTTTCCAAGATCCTCTCCGCATGCTTCAATTGTCTTTTATTATCGATAATTTTTGGCCCCTCTCGTTCGTATTGATTACAACATACTTAATTAGCTGTTACTTTATGTTAGAAAACTGGTTATGTAGCTGATAAACAAGGTTAGGATTGTACTTTTCAGTGTCCAAGGAGTTGTTAATATTTGTTCAGTCTAAGTAACAGCTGTGTTTATTCTCTAATCATGTAAGGAAGCATGCTCTAAATGTTTTGGAATTTCTATTCATATTGCTGAATCCTGATCATGTTTTTATACTATGAAAATTAAGGTTGAAAATTATTTTGCGAAAATAGTATTTCAAGATTTGGAAGGGGAGCATTGGCGTAATTGGTAAAGTTGTTGTCATGTGACCAGTAGTTCACGGGTTCGAGCCGTGGAAATAACCTCTCGTAGAAATGCAGGGTAAGGTTGCGTACAATAGATTCTTTGTGGTCCGACCCTTTCCCGGCCCCCCGCATAGCGGGAGCTTAGTGTACCGGGCAGCTCTAGTTCATTACGTGTCCAAGGGCTTGTTTATGTTGGCCTATGTTATTATCATTGCCAGTATAGCTGATGTTAGCTGTTCTCTGTTTATGCGGCAAGAGTTAAAATAGTACAGACATATCTTGATATTTGTAGATAGGGCAAAGAAAAAGGGAAATGAGATTATCTAAGCTGAACCTGAATATGAAATTCTTATAAACATACAACTGGAAAACTAAAAGGTTGTATCCACAGATTTTGATATTGCACCAGAGAATTTTGTTTAGAGAGTTGGACTCGAACTCTAGCACTGTATGTTTGGAGTTGCACTTTTAAAAGTGCTGAACTGTGTAGTACATGGTGCTGGAGTTTCACCAGTAAAAAAATTTCAAACTTCAGCACAGTGTGTTAGAGTTTCACTAGAAAATTCTTCGAAATCTAGTAGTCGTTCATGGAGTTCTTCCGTATTTTAGGTAGAGGTATATTTGTCTAAATATTTTTCCGTTAGAAAGAAATGGCTAAATACAAGGAAGCACTTCTCTTTCAATGGACCATACACGAAGCAAATCTGAACTGTGAGTTCGAATACCAGATGATTATACAAAAATCTCATAATTTTGTTAATAAGCTAAACGATCATTTAAAATACATAACAAATGTATTTATTATTTTTCTTTTATTTTTGTATAAGTAGAAGTAAAAAAAAAATACTTGAACTAGAGTTATAATTATTTGTTTTTTTTAACGACTAGATGCATGTCCAATTATCAAATCTCACAAAACGGGCCACATACATAGACAACCTCCTTTCTCTACTCCTTACTATGTACTATTCTCTTTCTAAATTTTTCTAAAAAAAGTACTACTTCGAATATAATTATTTCCATAAATTACTTTTTCTACGTTATAAGTAAATTTAGTGGACATGGAGTGAAAATCTAGAGATAAATATAAGTAACATTGCATTTGGTTAAACTATGTTAATGTAAAAGCTAATTTTTACAGTAATATGTATTTGGTATGTAGAGGACATTTTTTGATGAAATATTGAGAATTTTTTTAACCTATCTATGCATAATTATAAACCTAATTATCACTATTAAGGTGGTTTTCATTTAATTATCTAGCATAAATATATTTATCAATTGTATATAAAGTTAGAGATTAACTCCAATATAATAAACCTAACTAAAATCTATTAGAAGCTCCATTGACAATCATTAAAAATTTCGAATATCTGAATTCAAATGATTAGGAATATCTTTTAGAGTTTAATTATATGCCGATTTTGATTTTTTAGGGAGTTGGGTGTTGTTGCAAATTGTATGCAAACTGTATGTAAGTTATATGTTTTGTCCGGATCCTATACAACAAAAAAGTTGTATATAAGTAATATGTTATCACTGAATTTGTATATATTTTATAAAAAAAACACTAACTATTTGTTGAAAACCCAAAATCAAGTTAAAGCAGGTAAATAATATCCATTTTTTGTACTTGCAGAAAAAATTCTCGAATATTAATTGGAATATAAATATAAATTTATGAGTTCAGATAATCATGAGAAAAAAATATCTGCCTACATATTGAAAACAAAAACTATACTAAAACATGTGATATATATATATATATATATATATATATATATATATATATATATATATATATATATATATATATATATTTTCCAAAAGTAATTTTCATCCTACCAAAAAGCAGTTAAAACATAGGCGGCGCGATGTCGGGACATTAAGTCGCTAGTCATTAAGCTAATGCAAGTTTTAAGTCACATGCGTGGAATGCGATTTATAAGTCGCGTGACACTAATCCATTTGTAAGTCGCATTGCTGGGGCAGCGTAATTTTTTTTTTTTTTTTTTTTTTTTTGCATGCATGCCACCTTGTGATGATTAAAGTACTTATGCAATATCTTGTAAGTCTTTAGCTTCTACTATTCCAGTATTCACTGCTGCAGTTGGTCTAATGATGATAGGTTTCTGTGCTTAAATATGCTAGTTATGAGCATAGGCAGATCCAGGAATTAAATTTTATGGGTTCAACTTTTAAGGTTTTCAGTATTGAACGAATTATATGTTTAAAGTTATGGGTTCATATCTACTATTTATGTAATTTTAATAATTTTTTACACATAGTTTTTTATTCCGCGTTGAAAGTTATGGGTTCAATTGAACCCGTCAATTGAACACAACATCCGCCCCTGGACTTATGAGGTGTTCTTTATATTTTTGTAGCAATGTGGGTCATGCCTGCCTCTGTGGGTATTACTAAATGAAAGAAACAACAGTGTGTTGAAGGAAAAGCAGAAGCCACTCCCGACTGAAAACTGTTTTTTTAGTGTAAATTCACTACTAAAAATTCGAACCGTCCAACAAAATCGATCAAAGTGGGTCGGCAATGGCCAATAACAGTTCAAAACGCAATCATTTACGCGTGGACGGTATTTTGAAGGTCGGAAGAGCATACCGACCAAAGTTGGTCGAAAATTACCGACCAACTTTAGTCGGTCAATTAAATTCAAAAAAAAAAATTGCCCAAAAAAAACGACCAAAGTTGGTCGGTATTTTAATTATGTAATTAAAAAGTGCATCATCTGGGAATCAAACCGGGGTCTGTACTGTGGCAGAATACTATTCTACCACTAGACCATTGGTGCATTTTGTTTTAAGACTGTCTTTTATTTCATTTATACTCTTTAATTGTATTTTCGCACGAAAATAACCGACCAAAGTTGATCGGTTTTATTAAAAAATAAAATTACCGAACGAATTCGGTCAGTTTTTTTAAAACGACCGGCCGAATTAACTGACCGATTGCGGTCGGTTTTTATAATATTAATTTTAATTTATTTTAAATGAAAAACAGACCAAAGTTGGTCGGTTTCTTGAAAAATAAATTTTGCGCGACTCAAAAATAGTTTTCCGTATTTTTGCGCCAAAGAAAACCGACCAAAGTTGATTGGTTTCGTAAAAAAAATTAAAAAATAAAATATTTTGAAAACCGACCAACTTTGATCGATTTTTTGGCCGATTTTTTGACCGACGAAAATTGGTCGATCCATCGTGGTTGATTTTTGCCTAATTTCTAGTAGTGAAACTGAATTAATGAGGCTATTCGTGTGATAGATTTTACCTTCAGGACTAGCCTGAGTTGTACATAGTTTTTGTACTCATCAGCACAGTCAAGGTAAATCTTTCTTTACTTATCGAAAGAAAAAACATTATGCTAGTTAGTTAATTAAAAGCTCCAGAATAAAGGGATGATCCGGGTACTAGGTCCTTCTCTAGTTCAACACTGTAAAGATAAATATAGTTGATGTTCGATGTGGCATGGCATCTATAGGAAGAAATATGATAATAGAATGATCAGAGGCGGATTTAGGATTTATATTCTATGAGTTCAATATTTATAGTTTTTAGTATTGAGCCCAGTGGCGAAGCTAGAAATTTTTTCAAGGATGTTCAAAACTTGAAATAAGTAAAAAAAACATTCCGGCAAAGGATGTTCAATATATTTTATATACCTCTAAAACTTAATATTTTACCTATATGGGTGTGTTTGGTATAACGAAAAATATTTTTCGTGAAAAATATTTTCCAAGAAAATTTTCTTGGTAAACAAATAGTCATCTTATTCATTTTTCGGTGTTTTCGGTGTTTCCAATATTTGCTACGCAAATTAAGGAAAATAATTTCTCAAGAGTATTCATAAATAATTTAGATACAATAAACATAAAGCCATAAACTTTCGAACCAACAACCTTCTGAACCCACAAATTTCATAAACTTCCGAACCGTAAACTTTCGAACCCGTAAACTTTATAATATTTAAGCCCGTAAACTTTCAAACACATAAACATCCGAACTCATAACGTTGGAACTTATAAAATTTCGAACCTGTAATCCGAAAGACGAAAAAACTAAAACTGAAAGTATTTAAAAAAATATTTTTTTCCCCGGGGTTGGGAGGGGAGGGGTGTGCAGAAAAACGAAAAAATTGTACGGGGGTAGGGGTAGGGGTNATAAACTTTCGAACCGCTAAACTTTCGAAACCGCGAAATTTCGAACCCGTAAACTTTAAAATTTCTAAACTCGTAAACTTCCAAACACATAAACCTCCGAACTCATAACTTTGAAACTTGTAAACCAAAAGATGAAAAAACTAAAATTGAAAATATATTAAAAAAATATTTTTTTCCCGGGGGTGCAGAAAAACGAAAAAACAAAAATTTGGGATGGGGTTGGGTGGGTTGGTCAGGGTGGGGAAGGTTGAGACGGAGTTTTGGAAAATGTTTTCCCTTCTCTTGATAAGGAAAATATTTTTCTCCAATTTGAGGAAAATGAGTTTATAAGAAAAATATTTTCCAAAATATTTAAGCCAACCAAACATGAAAAAATCGGAAAAAATAGGGAAATATTTTCCTTCATACCAAACACACCCTATATGCGGTGTTATTTTCCGATAAAGGGTGGTCAATTGAACACCCTAATCAAAGTGTGGCTTCGCCCCTAATTGAACCTATTAAAATTTTTAAAGTTATGGGTTTAGATTCACTATGAGTTTGCAATTTTAATAAATTTTTAGGCTAAATTTATATTTGCATCGAAACTAAACATCTTCATAGGGAGACATGAGCATTTTGTATGGACTGTTCAAAGACGGTGAAAACTTGCTAAATACAGAATGTACGTTACCACTCGTCTGAGTAACCTACTTGAGTCTAGGTGACAGATTAACCTCGCTTTAATGGTTAGGA